TTCTATTAAAATAACCAGAACGTGTAAAATAAACGAAGTCTGTAAGCTATTTGACGTATAATGATATTATTGCGGAAAAAGTAAAAGTTGATACAAAAAATACAAGTATTTTGGTAAACTATTGTTTTCTTAATTATTATTATCAATAAAATGCCATCAAATTTAAGCTTTCCAATAGCTTTAAATCTCAATCCATCCGGTGAACATATTATATTTAAACTAAAATCTCGCCACAATTAAAATAAAAAATAGAAGTCTCGTATAAAAAAAAATGTGTATTCTATCATACATTGTAATGCTTTATTATTAATTCTATAATAATAATGAGTAAAATATTTTTACAAAAAAGTATTACAAAATATACTTAATAGCGAATACTAGCCACGAATAAGTAGGTATATATGTGCTATATCAGCACGTAATTTATATTTCTTGTAATGTGAACATTAAGATTGATTTTATAAATTCAATACTTTAAATTCTGAACTAAATATAAGCGAAATTTGGTGCGGAATAGAGTTTAAAAATGAAAGATATTAAACCACAGAATAAACTTACATCGTTGTTATCAGATATCAGTTTACCTGTATAGTCTGTATGTCACCGTCGTGCTGTGCCTAGATTATCTTGTTCGTTTTCGTTATTCTTTTTACATTCGATTACCAACCGTTGATACCCTTTTCGGTGACTTTTAGTTACCCATTAATTTATTTATTATACGGTCCCACATCGTACTGTCATTAACCATTTTCTTTTTTTTTTATTGATTGTTATAATTGTGATTGCAACCACTGGCCAATGACTTTTGCAGTCATGAGATAAAATCTTTACGCTATAATTATTATAATATATATTATCATACTATAATATTATTTTTCATACAATTATCCAAAATGTATAATATATGCAGCTGATACGTGTGTATAATATATACTAAAGGGAGTTTTTTTTTAAACGTTTTACACTCACTTTCTATAAATGTGCATGTTTATTGGCAATTATTTTTTTTGTTTTAAGTTATTTCCACACATTACTGAATATTGTGTAAATACTGTTAAATGCTCTTATAATAATGATATATTATATTATTATTATAGTATTAAAAGTAATGCAAATTAGTGGTACTCCGTTTTAGTTGTGTATACAACTGATATAATCAGTATGAGTAATAAAATTACCCAGTAAATGATGATACACGTGGTAATGATTACTTATAGATTACAGTTTGCTCCTCTAAGGCGATTTATCGCGTAAAATGTGTTTAGAATAGATTAAACGTGGGTTATTACCAAGTACTTTTAAGTGTATGATAATGCATATTCAGATTAAATTTAAATTAAATGCATGATGCAAGCCCTTGGGCTTTGAAAACTGGTAATAACCTGAGAACATACGATCGAATGTATTCATATAGTTATAATTTTATATAAACATATAATCCCTAAAAGTATACTTGTATACATATTACTATACTGTAGCATTTATAAATGCTTTTAATTAGGTTACTCAAAGTCTACAGGGGAGTACTTGTCCCTTTGCACCACCTCCCTGTGTATAATAATTACATGAATGTTGACAATTAACGGTTGTATTATTTTCAAGTATGAATAGCGCCAGAACATAATATATACGCACATATATTTACCTAAAAATTTAATATTGTCACCAGTAAACGAGTTTTATTCGAAATTAATATTTAACACTGCATGAAATTACCAGCTGTCGTGACGCTTTTTTTCTAAAAGTTAAATACGTTTATGTGTTTACTTTGAATGCATATTACAAAATTCATTTATACTAATATATATATATATATATATATATATATGTTACGAATTAAAAATAAAAGTCATCAATATCATATTGTTGATGAGAAATATTGTTCATTTGAAATACGATTTGCGCTGTAAGAAAAAACTGTTAGAAATACCACATGCAACTATTTGACTAATAATTTTAATAAGTTATTAACGATCACGATCGATAAATCTAATAACGGAATTAAATTTATTGCAGAGATTTTTCAATAAGAAACACATACATTTATTGCAAACACGTTCTTATTTTTGGCATGGATAATTTTTTTCGGAAATTTCATGGTAGACTGAGAAGCAACTCAACGTACGTCAATGTCAAACTATAACACGTGCCAATTTGAATATATCACATATTTTAATTATTAGGTCACAGATTTTTTTTTACTTAGATTTTATTTTCATAATTATAAAATTTGACGTAAAAGTATAATTATAATTTATGACGATTCGTAAATTTTTATTTTTATTTGATTCTGCGTATTAATACTGCGCTTCACAAAATGTGATAAGTTAATTATATATCTAATGATATATTATAGGAACTAGCGACTATGGTATTAAAGAATTTTGATCGGTAAAAGTGTTTATACACCGTACAAACTGAACATAAAATGTTTTTGATTTTTAGTTAATATTTCATTGACTTCACTCGAAGATTATGATAAAAATAATTAAACTAATCATTTTCGGCTCAGTGATTTAAGTAAACTAACGTAACATTTACATACGTATGTATTATTAATTCATTATAAATGTAATTCTCTGACCAATAATGTGTAAAAGAATTATTTAATATCTCAAAGTATATTACATCACGGGGAATACGAATGTGAAGATTTTTAGATTTTTAACATGGATATAAGAGCCTAAGTGCGTTATAAAGGTTTACGGTGATTAATTTTTCCGTTTATATAATTTATTATTACAAGCACCAGAAAGATTTTTTGGGGAAGATAATAGTTATGTACATGTAGTGGAAGTAATCTAGTGCAGTCTGATGAAAACTACATAACCCATCGAATAAATTATAAGTGAATAATTTTAAATTATTGAGATTATGAATATTATATAGTTTAAAGTATTGAGTACGAAATGTTAACAAATTATATTTTGTTTTATGATTTTTTTTTTCAGATTTAATATTGACTATTAGATATGTGATTATTGTAACTAGTATGAAAATATCATTGCAGGTTTATAAATTCTACTTAGCATTGTATTCGGAAGTCGATAAACCGCTGGTATGACGATGTCGTACGCTCTATATCCACACATAACTATCATTATTTACCATTTACCTTAACTGCGATTTTTGCTTCTTTTATAAGTACTAAATAAACTAAATATCATCAAAGAAGTCAAAAAGACATAGTGCATTGTTTATGAAACACTAATAAAAGTTTTCTAAGTTTTGTTAAGTTCAGGCACTGCCAATTGGATCCTCGCATTAATTTTTTTATCAGACCGCAATCACATATCCACCGTATCGTTGAATTGTGGCTTTAGGATAACAAAGTCGTTAATTGCGCATTTCCGGAAATCAACATTTTTCCCTGCGACAGCATGAAAAGCGTCAACGTCGAATCACGTGATTCACGAAATTCGTTAAAATGTATGTATTTAATTATATTGTTCGCAATTATAAATAACAGATAAATGTAACTCTCGTATTATTGACACATTTATTTATTATTAACAATAATGAACTCCGATTCAAATGCCCTCCCGGAAAAAACTGTCTGAAGAAACACTGTTCATACTTATCGCAGTTTACGCATAATGTGTACGTGTTTGTACATATTTTAGTATTTCGTTTGAATATTTAACATCCGTATTAATTCGTTATACAATACGGTATAATAAATAAAAATTGTTTCATAAAATAATAATATAATTATTATAATATTCTAAGAAACGTTCCGTTCACGACGAAAATCGTTGTATTATTTACTCACATACATTTGTACGTTCAATTACGCTGCGCTTAATTAATTTACGCTTATATATATTACACAAGTACGCACCTATATGTAATAAATAACCGTATCACTGTATCTATATTTATGTAAATTTGTTTACAACAATTTATATAAATATATATACATATATTATATTTGTACGTGCTATATAAACATCTGATTTATACGAATATTGATAAATACATATATCAGTTATCAATAAACTATAGACTGTATTATTTAGTCGAGAGTATAGATATGCCTACGTGCGTCGGTCGGCATACGCTACGACGGAAAATATCATTATTATCGTGTTATCAGCACAATCACGTTTTTTTTTTGATTTTCTTCTTCGCTCCTAGAATAAGACGCAAACGCGTGTGAAAAAAAACACAAGTAAATGGGCTTGAAAGAAAACAATAAATAAATTTTAAAATTATTGCTTTTAAAATTAAATTTAAATTTTATTACCAGGGATGTTTTGAGTATATGCCATTTTTTACAAATGAAAATTTAAAAAATGTTTTTCCGTTTCACTCAAAGGCGATAATTACCGCCTACTTAAGTAGGTTCCTAATACTCTTCAACTTAGTACGTACTTATTATATAACTTACTTATACTGATATATTATTAGATTACTTCCAAATGTAATCTTTCACGGTGAATACGTGTAAGCAAAGAAAAAAATTATTTTTTACTGAAATTATAGTATATAAGTACAATTACTGTCAATTAGGTACCGTTCCACCTGTATACCTATAACGTAATAATTTAATTTGCCTATACGTATTTCTTCGCAAAATTTACCGTGGATGTGCACAACTTAGAACTTCGTATACCTTCCAGTACAACCCAGTTTATTACTGTTGAAATGTTAAAAGTTCAAACTCTAAGTAGATTATTTTACGAACCATATAGTATTATTAGGTACTACTACTAGGTACAACACTGTGGAAAAAAACATACCAAAATATTTTGTCTCGCACCATACCAATAAAGGCGTAAAACACGCGTTAAGAATGCTTAAGAAACAAACATTTTTATGCTGAACTATGCAAGACAACGAGGTGTTGGATTTACACGCGTAATATTGTAATCCAAAGAGAAGGGAAATAAAAAAATGAACGCATCAACTTGCCGTTGGTACACGGTGAACAAAAAAATAATAGGAAGGAATAGTCAAGAAAAATCGAGGGCTTAAGTATAGTAAAATAATACAAAAAATTGAAGAGAAAAACGTATGTATTACATTCGACTAGTATAAATAAAGTGCATATAATTCTAATGATTACGTGTGAATAACAATAGTAAAGAATTTATAACTATCAAAAAAAACGCGCTCGTATATGTACACGTGCAACGATTCTGGGGCGTTAGAGCCCTGCGAGAGTCGGGCTGGTGTTTTTGTCGGGCAATTAACATGTTAAATTTTAGGAGAAAACAAGATGGACTGAGTCGGTGTTAGGGGTTGGTGGTGGGTGAAGTACAATGCCAACCCAAAGAATAATTTATTTATATAGTCGGCAATCATCAATGAATGAAGTAACATTAATATTTTTTTTTTTCGAAAGTAGTCGACATATGTGTTTATTTATAAGCTTCCCATCAATATTTGTTATGCCCTACCGACTGTGGCTGAAAAACATTCAAATAAATTTAAAAAAAATGGGATTTTGAAAATCGGCTGGGCGCAGAAGTTCAGTACAACGTAACGGTGGTTATGCAGCACTGTACGAGTGTAATACGGGAAATTATTAATATTGCGTGCGGGTTGGGTGAAACCCGCGCGCGGTTCAGATAATTATCGCAATCTAATAACGTTAGGTTTCCGTAAACACTTAAAAGAAAAAAATATAACAAAAACTTAAAAAAAAAAAATACTATTACAACTAATAAATATAATTATGATTCGTATTGAATACAACAATAACGTGGCTTTGAATATAACAATCGATAATAATAACGTGCGTGTGCGTGTGTGCCGATGCGTGCGCGTGCGAGTTCGTTGTCATGACCGTAATGGGGTGCAAAAATTATCGACTGTTCACGACCGTTCTTCTCATCCTCCTTCTCCACCCGTCACCATTCCAGCTGTCTGCATTGCCGCGAGGGACACACTCACGCGTGGCCCGACCACGATCCGTCCGAAAACCTTCCGGCCCGTCACCGCAACTTCATTTCCTCTCAGCCGCCGCTCGTCCTTTGGCGCGATACGCCAACATGCCCGGCATCAGCACCCCATCGACGAACCACCGACGCGGTATCACAGCGCTGGCCACCGTCGCGCACCACACCTGCAATACGTACAAACACGGTACAGTCGCGTGCGGGGGCGGATCCACAGTCGGAAGACTGTGTGTCAGCCTACTCAAAGAGGACACTTATTATGACCAGGTTCAAAGAGAAGGGGGTATTTGGGACTGTAGCCCAGGGGCCCGGGCTTCAAAAAAGGCTATTTATTGCCGAGCTATTTATGGATCATCAACATGAATCGTGTTAATTACCTACCCAAAAAATTATAGCGTATGCTGTATAGTTATAACGAGTCTACAATAAAGTGAACACTGCAATATTGATCTAAAACGTAGACAAATAACATTTTCAAGAAAGTCCCATAAGCTATAAATAATTATTTTCATTTAGTCTATGGAATAACCATGACTGCGATTACATTATCTCTTTAGTATACGCATTTTAAAAGAAGACACTGAATGTCAGTGGCAAGTTAAATACCTCGTAAGAGAAGGGCCTAGATTAATTTGTCCCTGGGGCCTTGATTTCTCTCCACGGCCCTGATAATATTATATAATTCACACGCTTGTATTGATTTTTATTTTATGAAAATACTAAAAACAATCAGGGTTTTAATATCCTTGAAACTAATCAGTCATTAGTAATCACGATGAATATTAATAATTTTTAAATGATTGCACGTTTTATGATAAAATTAAATTATCAGTATCAAACTTCAAACGGTGTTTTCAAAAATGTCTTAAGTGCACGGACGGCTGTCGTCTATCGACATTTCACGAACATTGATTGCAGATTTAAAAATACAATAAGTTACATTTTCGCGTTTGATAATTATTTATTTTTGGATATCCAACTGATAGGATGTTGTGATGTACCTATGTATTAATATTACGCATTATTATTCACAAAACGTGTATAGCCTTAAATTTGACGTTTTACTGCACTATATGTATAATTAAACCTGTTTCACCATTTTAAAAGGGAGGCGACTTCAACCTACAATCGGCACACTTGAAAAATATAAGTAAACTTCTAGAGACCAATTTCGTGAACAAATATTAACTGCGGACCTATTGAACCCCTAAATCCGCCCCGGGTCGAGAGTTATTCAGCATGTGTCATTCCACCACGTAAATTGTTGCAATTGCTGGTATAAATATCTACTCATTTTTTCGCGAGACTAAAATATTACGTGTACAGTTTTCAAAAAATAAAAATGTATTACATTTAACAATTTAAAAACTATGCTCAACTGCAATATCAATAATATAATAATAAACCAAGTTATATTTTAAGAACCAATGTTTATATTCGTGTTGATGTACTGGTGGAACTAACATAATTATATTTTATAATACGACAGTAAAATAAATATTATTAAATTGTTAATACTTGTAAATGAATATATAAATATATGTATGAATGCATAGTCTGAAGTGTTACTATATGTGTAATATTTGATTGGTTTCGAATTGAAAATTCGTTATAATGTAGTTATTAAAATTTTATAAAATTTAATAAAATCTCCACTGAATATGAAAAATTAAGAAAAAAATACATTGAGAACAAATTGTCAATGTAATTGTAATACATCCTATTCAAATTTAGAATATAATAAAACAGAGTTTATGATTGACGGGAAGGTGGGTTGCGGAGAGCAAAGCCCTCTCAAGTTTGTTAGCTCTACAATCTGCTGTTAATCCTGAAAATGTAGTTCAATTTACGCCACTGTGAACCGTAATATCCGTTGTAATACGTGTACGTCCGACGCGTACCGATTTGTGGCGAACGTATTAAAAAGGCGCATACATATGAGAGCATATTTATACGTCGCATAGAGCTTAATGCATTCGAATGAATTTTGTTCGTTTGTGTGCACACAATGAACAATATTTACCCATTCGTTTCTATTTACAGACATATCGTGACACACCGTTCACCTTTCAGATTTCCACTGATTGACTCGGTATTGAGTGAAAAACATATTATGTTTGTTGATTTTCGTATGATTTTAGTCATAATATTATACATAGAATTTTAAATACTGAGAGGTCGAATTCAAGTAGCTTATGCATCGTTTGCAGTAACACACGAATGAATTAAAAATAATAATGAAAAAAGAAAAATCAACGTGATATCGGTAATGCATAAGAAAAATACGGGTAAAGGATTACATTTTCTAAATGATGTGGACTTGGTAATTTTGTGTTTTCAATATCTTGTTCGTGCACATTTAGAAAACTTTAAAGTCTTAGAAACCGCATTGGTTCAAAAACAGTGGAGCGAGACAAGCGAGCATGAGACCTGCGGTAGCCGTTCAAAACAGAACTGATTGTATTCGCCGCACGGTGACCTGAATGCGCCGCAGTCTTCCTGTCGGCCACGGTCCAAGTACCCCGACATTGAGCGGATCGACCTATTCGGCAACGAATGATTTCGAACGCTCGCGAACACGGTCGCATAACAGGTCGCACACGGACGTGCGCGAGCATTCGTCAATTTTGTTCGGTCGTGTGTATGCATCGAACGTGATTGGTCCTGCGACCATCATCAACCGCGATGTCTTTCAAAGTGTAGATTCTTTCGGGACGATCCAAAAGTACCGGAAAAACAATTTTCGAAAATTAAACCAACAACTCTTTTAGCTGCGTTGCAACGTGCTAGAATTGCTTCGAACTTGTGATTACTTTCACAGACATCTACGTCAAAGTCGACGTTTTTGTGTTTTCATCGCGCCGTGTATTTATTTTTATTCCGGCACACGCGTACAGGAATGCATGAACTATGCGTGATCTATTGCTCCTACTAGACTTCACGGCCCCGTTCACAGTAGCGCAATAAAGCGGCAAACTGTTCTACGAACAACCAAAATTGATGTTCTGATGTTCGCGTTTTTTACGCTAAACAATAAACAATAACTATGAAAATAAAAATGAACGACAATGTTTTATTTTTGTGTGGTCGTAAAAACGTTCATCGATACGTCCACATCGTAACATGTTCGCGTAACATCCTTTGACGTTACGTCGAGACACTGACAGCGAACGAATCGCCGGCTTGTTCGTTAAGGTGCGAATGCGATACGTATTCGGCGCGTCAAACCGTACCGAATTCTAAGTGTTAACGACTCCGCCGAGCACAAACGAATTCGTTTTGTGTTCTGCCCGTTCGAGCAAATAACCGGTAAAATCAAATAAAATGCCTATTCGGTGCGAACGGTGCGTTGATCTTTTATGATTATTCGCGTCATTTTACTTGAAACAATTTTAAATTAAAATGTATGATGCTGTAAAGCGGGTGTACGTACCAATAACGTGTGCGGCCAATAACCAGTGAAGCTGGCCGGGCTACCAGCACTCGAGTAGCCGGTGGCGTACAACCGACCACCTTGCCGGAGCGCGGATCGCACCCACCGTCGTGCTGAGGGCACCAGCCACCTCTGGACGCTGTTCTCCAACCGCTGTCTACGGGCCGTCCACCAGCACCTGTCTCCGTAATCGTCGTCATCGTCGTCATCGGCCCACTCCTCTTCATCGTCATCACCGCATTCCGCGCCATCAACGACCACGCGAACGTTCGGGTTGGCCGACCGCAGCATGGCCGTGGCCACGTACGCGGGCCGGGCGCACTGCACGCGGACGCCCAATGCACCGCGGTTCTCGTCGTCACTCGTACGGCACAAGTACACGCACTCGGCGTCCAGGTCGGCGGACAGTTTCTCCAGGAACTTCTGCGCGGCCAAAAACAAAACACGTTTAGTCGTCACCGGTGAGATTACGTTAGGATATCGCGCGCGCACCTAGGTCGGTGGTACTACCGTATTTTCCACGTTCAACAGAACGACCGTTGAAAGTATCGTTTATCGAATAGCAACTGTCTTCGGCGGTTCGAGGTCGCCGAAAATAAAGACGATTTTCGACGTCAAGGCAGAGTCGGACTCGCCGCGACTCGTGTGCCCGACGAATGCTCGTCATTCGTGGACGCTCGTTGTGCGCGGGAACGGAGTGTTAAGGCCGCTTTACGCAACACCTCTCCGTTTTCAAGCCGAATTGGCTAGTGCATTCAATATATAGTTGTACGACGGATGGAGGTGGGGGTATAGCTCACGACATCAACAGTCAATTATGGAAGCACTGTGGAATGCCAAACCGGTGGACGGGAAAAAGCGCTCGGAGTAAGCTCTAACTGCTGCACGCGCGTGTTCGCTGTGTACGAACCTTTGTAGCCGCGTACAGGGCCATCAATGGCGTGGCTGGCGGTATGGATGCCGAGGCGCTGCCCACGTTGACCACAATGCCATGGCCTCGGGCCAACATTCCGGGCAACACAAGGCGGCACGCGTGCACGGCCGCGGCCACGTTGCACCGCACCGAAGCATCGGCATTGTCGCAGAACTCCGCGGTGAAATCTGCGTCGTGCACGCCACCGCCGCCGCCGCCACCGTCACGGTGGCCGCGCATGCTGGCAAAGTACTCGGGGTGCGGATAACAGACGCCCGCGCAGTTGATCAGCACGCCCACGCCCCCGGCCGTCTGGAGACGGCCCTCGATCACGGCCCGGAGCCGTGGGTACCAGCGAGTGCACCCGCCGCCTCTCACCGTGACCGACGGCCGTCCACCGTGGTCGTCGCAGAAGCACTGGTCGCCCACGTCGTCCTGCCACTGTTCCGGATCGCTCCGTCCACGGTCATCGTCCTCCTGCCGTTCCGCGTCACTCCGTTCTCTGCCGTCGTCCTGCTGTTCCGCGTCGCTTCGTTCTCGGCTATCGTGCTTTTGCTGTTTCTCGTCAGCCGCGCCACAGCAGCGTTCACCGCGCCTTGCCACCGGGTCTTCCGCGAAATCGGCCACCACCGTCATCACACGCCTCTCGCATCCACTCGATTCCTTTCCTGCGCAAACGCAATATACCGTGGTAATCGCCATCGGTACCAACACTGCGATGAAGTGCGCTGCCCTGGGAGGGGAACAGTGAACATTTCCAAAGGGTTCCTGACGACGGGCTACTTTCAAATTACACTTTTTAACGATACTGTTTATTTGACGGAAACTACGAGTATTACAGCCGCCTCGTGTTGTTATTAGTACACTTTTTTTACATTTATCAATCGTTTAAACATTAATTTTAGTCATACATGTATTATTTGAAAAATGTATAAATATTTAATAAGATTGGCATAGACATTATCGATCAAAAACGGACCCTTCCCTTTTCAGCCGATTTACTTTTTGACCAAATTTAAAATAGACCGATTCCTCTTTGTGACCAAAACAAAAATGTATGTATGTATGTATATGTGTGTTATTGGTTAGTTGATAATAATATTTTTATCGAGTGTTTGTTCGTTTTAAAGTTTCGAAATGTAGAAAATATGTAAAACCCTTCGAATATTTTTTTAAATAATGTGTTTTAAACAGATACTGCACAAATATTTATCCGATTTCGTTATGTATTTGATAGGTTGAGCAGTATTTTAAATACATATCATTATTTGAAGTTGAATCTTTTATTTTGTATGGCGATAATGTAGCTATGGAAGTATCGAGTATCTTGTTACGCGATACTATTAAACGAGTATTTCATAAAGTTGTTATCAAAAGAAAGTTACTCATTACATTAAAAAGGTATTGTGAAGAATATTTTTTTTTTTTTTTTTAAATGTAATGTATCTAGAATTATATTACTATTTAAATATATGTAACGAATAACTTGTAATGCATCACCAGCAAGATTATTATCTATAGTATCTTATATCTAATATAGAGCATCTTTGCTTACTCATTTATATGTATCTTGGCTATCCGCGTGTACTCGAATAAAAATTAAAAAAATCTAAATATATATATTTAAATGTGAAAATGGAATCTTAGTCACGCGTGTTTTCCGAAACTACTAATCTCTTTATTATTCTTTTTAAATGTAACAGTAAATCGTGGTTCAGGTTTTAGATTTGATTTAAAATTCCATAAGTTGATTGAGTCATAATTTATTTACAATTGTTTATTTTTCAATACACCCCACGGCGTAGCGCAGCAAAAAAAAAAAAAAAAAACAATACACACATTCGCCTGGGTTTAAAATTGTCGACCGCTGGACGATTAATTAAAAAGTTTTTAACTTTTTAACCATGGGCAGCAAGAGAAACCTGCTGGCGGTGCTAAAACGAGAGGGGAAACGATAATTATAATTTTTAATCTGACCTAACGCGGTAATAAGCATTTATTTTCGCAGGAAATTCAGCCTGTACCGTAGAAAATAATACGTTTCGCGTCTTACGACTGTTTTGAACCGATTCAACGGATTACGTGGTACGTTTTAGCGTTTCAAAGAAAACGATTTTCATCAGCTGTATCATCAGCAGTATCATCAGCAGTAGGAAGGCGAATAAAAGTGTTTGCGCGAACAATATACTCAGTGTCTCGGTTGGTTTTTTTTTTTTTTTTTGTCACCCCGTTCACGTCATCGCGCAGTCTTTTCGCAAAACGAGTGCCTATTCGTTCAAGTGTTGCGCGCATCCACGTTGCGATATAAAAAGATCAATAAAAAATTAGAAATAAATTCACTTACTTATCAATGCGGCGACGGTCCTCAACTTGTCCGGGTTCCTGCCCACCAGCAGCACGTCCATTCCGTGGTCGACGGCCAGCTGCTCGCCGCGCGAAGCCAACACAACACGATTATTAATACGTGGAACATTACGGTGCTCATACGTATTATGGAAAACTACTCTGCATTTCTACTGGGCGATGTTAATGTTTCAAAAAAAAAACCCATACTACCGACGATGATAAAAAAAAATAAATAAAAAATGAAACATGATAACATTTTCGTCGTTGACGCTGTCGAACGAACGAAATACTTTGCTGCGCCAGTATTCCGTTATCTCCGCCACCGGTTAGCCGCTTAAAAAACTAATATTATGTTCAGTTGTGACGTGCGATAATATTGTCGTTACAAATACGTTGAACTCTACGAATGTGTGCACTACAATAATGGGTAGGGGCGTGAGATGGGGGGTTAGTGCAAAACGAGGTGACACCGATTTGTGTTGTATGTTGGGAACGAGAGTTTTATCCGAATCCCGGAATCGTAACGCGACATGGTCTCACAGAGGAAATGTCGAGGAAAGAGTGGTGTCACAATGTCAATACCTCGAGCGTCTTTAGGTCAATAAGTTTATACCTAGGGAAGCAACACGTATTCCGTCCGTCACATTACGTAGGCGGTTGTGTAGCGTATAGAGTACCGGTGAGCGTTTGGTTGAAGGAATCGTCGAACGAATGTTGTTTCCGTACAATTCGAGTTGTGTCGAAAAATCTGTTCGCGAGAAAATAATGATTTATTTCCTCTGTCCCGCAGGTGAAACGTGTAAACTATCAGCTATTTATATTTTAATTGAATGCTCGTACGAACTTGCGTAACGTACACTAATCGAATCATTATGAATAAAGTTTTCACCGCCTTTGTCTGTAATACGGTCTCAGTGTAACGCAAACACAATTATTAGTGCGAGGATACGACAACGTCACGGATAAGCGTTTGCCAACAAGTGTGAAACGATCGTTAAAAGTTTGTAATTTGAATAACAGATTTATAAAATTATCCTACCGTTAAATTATCATCATAATCGGATTTAACGTCAAATGGCGGTGCAAACAGTGTAACAGCGCGTTAACACTGTCATCGTTGAACGGGATGAAAAATCATAATGTGTGTAGTCTGCACAACGTTCCTTTAGACGAGTAATTTCCGTGATAAACTGATTATAAATTAAAAAGTATCAGCACCAAAGCAACTTTTCATTATTTACCCTTAATGTTCTACGACGTAAAATCTACGCTATGCTAATTTTAATAAATGTTTGTTTTGTTGTCCATTGATTCCTGAAAATGTAAATTTTTTTTTTGTTGTTTTTTTCCTAAAAGTTCTATTTTATATTTTTCTGGTTTTTTTCACGCCATTACAACTTTCTTGTATTAGAAAACGCATTTTGTTAAGATCATTTCAATTTTTTATTTGATATTTACTGTTTTATATTAATAAACATTGAATCTGATTTACTTTGTTTGGTTCATATATCGTTAATTCTATACAGTTCTGTATCATTAATTTAAAGTTATGTAGGTACGCGGAATAAAAACGAATACCTAACGGCACATTGTATGAAGTTGAAAAGTTTTGGTTCACAGTTATTAAAACAACACAACGCGCAACATAAACAAATCGGTTTCACTTCTATGTCGGTCCCTGGCTACTGAAATTTACAATTTACTGATTCTATGCTAAATAATAATACAATATCATTGTTTCTGTTATAATATGTTAGTCTATGTTATGATGATGATGCGTTCGTTAATCCGCGACGTCTTCCTGTGCGATGTTATTGGTTCCTTGACTACTGACCTGCCGAGCGTACTCCTTGCCTATGCCGTCCGTGGCGCCCGTCACCACTGCGAAAAACAATACAAAATATTACATACAAGATTGTATTATGTGTATATGTATCAGGGTTGTACCCAATAGGGGGGGATTCAGGTTCAGATTCCCCCATTAAATTTCTACATACTCAAAGGTTTAACAGTAAATAGTATAATAATAGTATATAGTGTATTTTAACTTCCCATTATCTTCAATATACAAGGTTTATAGTTTATATAATATACCTATAATGTATAAACCATACTATAGTTATTAACAGTAATTTGTTGGTATTGAATTAAACTATAATTATAATTAGAAACAGATAAAATAAAAATGTTGGACTCTCCCCATGAAAAATTCCTGGATACGCCCCTGGCGTGTATGTATGTATAATAGTTACAGTGTTCTAGAAAACGCTATACTACGAAGGATATTATGTGCGAGTCATTTGTTTGTCATTCGTGAAGGCAATATATAATTATATATACTTATATAAGGCAATACTTTATTCAATATTATCGTGCAGCACATACTACCTATTGCTTAACTCTAAAGAAGATGTAACTGAACTATTTTTAATTTTGTTATCCATCACATAATTTTATGACTACTTATGTCGTCAGCGAAAACGTATTTGAGAATATATTCTTAAGGTTTACGCCTTATAACGATCGTCAGAACTACGTTTCGATTAAGAATTTTTTTTTATTTTTCAAACAATGGGTTTGACGTTCAGATCTGTTACGAAAGTTCATAAGAATAATAATAAAACCTTATTCGTTACACTCGGATTTTGACCGTAAGATAGAACTAATGTAACTATTATTTTTTAACGATTTCGATTTAAAATTGTCTTTAGTTGATATTGTTAATGAACGTGTTTATAAAATGAAACTTTGAAAATATTAAGAAAATGAACTATGATTGATTTCAAAACAATTTTGGGATGATTTTAATAAGTTCTGTAAATTCGTGTTGCACCATGAGGTCTTTTAGTTTGGTAAAACGCTGGTAAATTGTCATTCATACGATAAGAATCAATTGTTATTTGGAAAACTCTATTGATTTTATTTTTCGTACTTTCAAAGTCTAAAAATAATATATATATGAAGAGTGCATTGATTTTTTTTCATTAATTGATAAATGAAATTTCCGATTAAAATATGCTCAGTAAAATTAGATGTCTTGCAAGATTAATGGATCTCTGCGAATCATGTAATGAACACATGACCTGTGTTTTACGAATAAAACTTACTAGTATATTAAAAAAATTATAATTCAAGCATAATAAAATTGTTTGTTCTGTTTATTCTTAGAAATAATACAACTATGACGCACAACTGCATTTCGGTATGATATTAAATGTTAATAATAATTATTATTTACAATTATTATTTAAAGAAAAAAATTCCTCGTATTCAATATTACGATACATACTTAGTGCGTGTTATTTTTATTTTTAATTATATCCATAAGTGTGCGTGAATCCACAATCATATCTATTTCTTTGGCAATGTAAGAAGATGTCATTTATTTGTTATGTTTCTATGTACAGTTGTTTCATGTGGAATAATTTACCATAATTCAAACTGTAATGAATGTAAAGAAATGAAATGTGTATAATATATGCAAGATAACACTCTACATGTCATAAGTATAACGATTTTGTTTATGTATTATAATATAATCAAAAAATAATCGATAATGCATATCGCCCTAAATTATATAAATTCCAAAATTTATATATTCCTCATACACATTACATAAATATAACGTCCTCTGATATACACATTATATTTCTTAATTTTGATTTTCATAATTACCAGATGCTATGAACATCAGTTAATTAATTTCATAACTAATGATAATAAAATAGTTTAACTGATTTATAAAAGTAGTATACTATTTATAAATAACTAAATTAAAAAAACTAAGTAATTAAATAAGTATAATCGAACGTTCGAAATTTGAATATTTTGAATTTTGCTTAAGTTGCCTACACGAGGCGCCGTAATAACCTAGATTTGATAATTTTGATAAAATCAACGTAAGAAATTATTGTCAAATTACCTGCGTTTGGTGATGTCTAATGAATTAATTTTAAACATACTACATTTTTAACGGCAAAATATTAGTAATAATATTAGTATATACTACCTACTTTCGAAATGAATTCATAATTTTTGACGAAATACTTTTTAAGTTTCTTTAGTTAATATTTTATAAAGGTCAATGTTAGAGAAAAAAAAACAAACATTAATATATTTTTACATTAATACTGATATAGCCACATAGCAACAATTAATAAATCTACAATATAATACTATGCATCACGTGCATTTAATTCAAGGAACTAATAATAGCCGGTAAGATATCATGTAGTGTAATATACAGTGTTCAGGACTTATAGCATTTAAAAACACAATAACAAACGTTTAAATACGCACTAAAAAACGGTGAAATATGCATTTAATTTATTAATTAGTATTGGTATCGTATAAAAATTTTTAAAAATGATTAACTATAATCTTATTTAAAAATTACTCAATTTTTTTTTTCTTTCACATTGATCTTAATAAAATATTAACTAAATAAACTTAAAAAGTATTTCGTCGAAAATTATGAATTCATTTCGAAAGTAGGTAGTGTATACTAATATTGTAATAATTTAACAAAATATATTTTCAGAATTATATCAATAGATAAAAAATCTTATTTAAAAATTACTCAATTTTTTGAAAAAGGTACTTTTTTTTTTTTAGTTTTTTAGTTTTCGAATTTTATTCAAAATTATTAAATATCCATACTATTATTAACCGCCAAAAGTCCAAAGTATGAGTACTTTTGTCGAGAATACCTTTAGTTTTACATTAACGTTTTATAATTACATTGGGCGATACAGCTGATACAGGCCATCGTATATTTTAAAAATAAAGTTATTTTCCCAACACAAAAACTATAACGAACCTTGAGTTGTATGTTGAAAATTGATAGGTAGGTACATACGATTGCACATTGCAATTTGTACAATTTATATTTTTTAAAATATATTTGTCAAAATAAGTAAAATAAGCATTTTCCTGCATATTTTATGAAATATGAACATTCAAAATATAGATTTTAAATCTGTACCATCAACAAATTAATTTATTTCATACACTGTTGTATTTTACAACAAATAATAAAAGTATACAAATACTACAACTCCCGAACCTTGTTAATATACATCACAACAGAATTATATATATATATATAATTGTATTATCTCAATCAGTATTAGCATTTATAATATTTTAAAACAATAAATCTCATTTAATATTTTTAAATAGCAAAAAAATGTAAATAATAGTAAACAATAAATTCTGAATCTTGTTGTAAAAATTAACCACAATATAGTTTAAGTGTTGAGATAATTTTGAACAACTGATTAATAGACAATTTTTTTAGAAATATTTTGGAAATGTTTAGAAAAATTCAAACGAAGCAATTTTAATGCATGACTAAGTAAATTACACATGGTTTCATGTAAAATATCACTACTGGTTTTGGAGAATTTAACATAAAAAGGTTTAGTGTTTGAGCGAAATTAATTTTTTACTTATAACTTTTTTATTGCAAATTGAAAAAAAATATAAAAAATTCCTTAAACTAATAATTTTATAGCATTATCGATTTGAAGTGAAAACCTCAAATAGTTCATTATTGATTTTGAGTATATAACACAAACCAAACAATATCGTTGTTTCTGGTTTCGTCAAATTAAATTTGAGTACAGCAACTTTTGATCAATCATTAGAACCATCGTAGGGAATAATATTATATTATACGGCCCGTATGCAAATGTCACTAAACTATCATATTTGATGGCTGATATTGTACTGTTCAAAATCATATTGCAAAACTAGCCTTAATAGTTGTACACATTCGCTTCGTTTGCCCTTTGGCGTCGGAAACAAAATAAAATAAAATATATTGACGATACTCAAACTATGTAAACCGAGCACACGTGAACGAATAAAAATTTTCCGAGCTACTTAGATCAACTTGTAGCTGTTCGAAGACAATTAAAACACATGTAAAGTGATTGACGCGCATACACATGCCAGTCAAAATCAAAATACGACGAGACAAGACTAAGCACGATCGGTTTTGATCAGTCTGATTATAATTTTGCTCTGAGCAAATTATGAAGAACAAAAGTCAGTGGTTTGTTTTTGTAAATGTAGTCAGTGCTTGACTTGGCAAAATTAAAGAAGGGGGACTCTGTTAACTTTAAAGAAAATGGCATCCCCAAGACTTGTTAAGTGTTATAATTATAATATAATAATAGTAGGGGTGCTAAAATTTCCGAAAATTAGTTGGGGTACTCCTCCCCCTGCGTCCCCCTCAAATCAAGCACTGAATATAGTATAACAACTGAATACACGTAATTTTTGTGTCGACCGCAGATTCTGTACATTATTGTACTACATTAACTCGTGCGTTATTAACATGTTACGTTTTTTATTGACGTTTATTTCACTGTTAAACAAAATAAATGCCATAATAGCGGTATATTAAAATCGTCTTCATCAGAACCAGTGGCGGATCGACTTAAGAATTCGGTCCGGGAAACAACTGTGTGACAGGCCCATTCGATATATTGCAATAAACATGGTTATAAAATAACTATAATATAGTTATTTCATGACTATATTTATTAAGTATCTGTAAAATATCAGTTTACAACTTAAAAATCTCAAAATACGACGATTGACTGGTGAGGCAATTCGCCGCTAGTATAAACTCATCTTGACTTCTGGTATTATAACAAAAATTAATTATAAAATAATACGTGTTTGTTTTATCTCGTTTTGTTTTGTTTTACCAGTGCGAATGGAATTTGTTCGGAGCTGTTTGGAGCAAAATGTTTCGAGAAACTCCGAGCATTTTTGCTCTTTCAGTGTGCACCCAGGGTTAGAATTGAAAAATTATATTTGTGTACAATCATATAATTTCTAACGGGCAATAATATTTATGTTATACGTACGAAAACGGAAATATCAAACATGAAAAAATAAACTTGGATTTTAATCATTATTATTATTTTTTCTATTACAAATATAAAAAATATAATTATTTTTTTTGTCCTCCGTATTTGTACATGAATATTATATTCAATGATTACTGCACGAATAAAATTAATCCGCGTAAAACTGTTTTATTTTTATTTTATATATATATATATACATATGTGTGGTGAAAATAACAAGTATTTGACGTCCTCTAAAGAAGGTTACGCACACATATTATTATAATGTTTATTGGTGTTTAACATCTGTGCGTAAAAATAAATATACCAATTAGGCGACTGTGCGTACGTTTAATTATATAAATATTTATTATCAATAAATGTATGGTTTGCTTTGATAAACTTTACATTTAATCACTACGTTACAACACATTGCAGGTGTAAAAATATTGCGTTTTGAAAACTATACAAATTAAATTTATATTTCATTACATAATAATGTGTACGTAGTAATTTATGAATCAATAAATCGATAAATGTTCTTATGGTTGTAAACGTCGAATACACTAGACGTTTGTACCAAAGACTGCGCCAATCTTTTTCGTTACATGTTTTTAGTTGAAGTACTACACTTGCATTTGCCGGATATTTGATTTATCTAGTTTCTGGTTTGCTATTCAGTTGATAATTACTTATCGTTTTTTTTCTCTTCGGATGATATTAATTATAAATGCCCGCTGGCAGTGTATAATAGATAAAAATCATAATATCGACATGCACGACGTAATATATTATTAAATGTGTACCGAAATGGATCAAATAATGATTTTGAACCTTAAAAATGTTATATATTTTTAAAAATGTATGAATTTTGAATATATTGAAAAGTCATTGATTCGTCCGAAAGTCATCGGTGAAAATAAATAATCGTTTGAACTAATCACGTTTTCTGATTATATATTTAATATTAACGTGTTGAAATACCTGCGTATTCACGTGATAACCTTTCAATACATTTAATAAAAAAAATAAAAGCTATGCTAGTTACACACACACACACACTCCCACTATAAAGGTTTTATATTACGATTACTCGTAAAAAATAATATTGGCGATACAATTGAATTGTTATTATTTATTTTCACGGCCGACGGTTCTTTATAATATGTCTGATATGATAATCGTTTAAGTTTGACGAACATAATAATACGTGATTTATTATATTATTTGAACACTTACAAGTGTCATATTATGTCAGAGTAAAATTGCAAAATAAAGTTACGTTTGTGAATATTAAGCCATTATTTTCCATACAAGGAACTATAAAAGTGTCGAAATTGATTTAATACATCAAATACTATGGTTTGATAAATTCGTTTGTTTTAAAAGTATATTTTCTTCGTTCAACATCGAATTTTCGGTCGATGATCGGTAAAAATCGTCTTAACGAGCTAATATTTTAAACAGCATACCATGCGTTTATCGTACTCATTTCACGAAAGTGAAAAAAAATTAGACAAACACAAATGTTATCGTAAGTGGACGCCGCTTGTAAGATTCAGTCACCTATTGCATTAAAAATCACCTGGAGCGGTCTGAACGTATCAAAACACGTAAACAAAATTGTAAGACTCAAATCTCGTACGGAAAATTGTGGAAAACGAGATATACCTATCAGACCGTTAACTAACTACGACCGTTGTACGTGCGATGCGCGATAAGCACTCATTCGAGTTTCGACATCGATACGTACATAATACGCGTAAGAATAAAAAAAAAAAAAAACAAAATATCACGATTAATAATCAAATCTCTTTTCCTTTTTGTCCACGTCGCGCCCCCTTAAGACATGAATCCGGTCAGAAAACTCTCTTGGGTTGATTACCACCCAAAACGAGTCTTACGAGCGGCGTCCACTCTGCATTGCGGACAGGTGTACCTGTCCATAACCGTATCGCGTTCGTATGTCATTATGTTGTGCACTCACCGGCCCATTGGCCCGTCGATCGGTATTCGAACTCCTTGCCGGAATGGTCGTGGTCGACGAACAGGTTGTTCTTGACGACCAGTTGTTGATGGGCCGCGTACGAAAGGGTGGCCAGTCCAACCCCGACCACTGTGATGGCGGCGAACACGCTGAGGACGAACTGCGGCCAGCCGTCGGTGTTGCCTACGTAGATGGAGTTGATCAGTATCCAGGCCACGGCGGCGACCAGACACGCAACACCGGTGGTGGCCACGGTGGCCTCCTTGGGTTGTATTCGCGACGCCATTACCGGCGGTGTGTTGGTGCGCGGCGAAAAGTGGTGTTGATGGTGGTCGGGACGCGCGGCGGTGGCGGCAACTGTTGCTTGTTCACAGGTGTTGGTGCGAAGCGCAAGTGATCACCGATCGATGGATCTCATTCTCGATCGCCGCCGCGCGGTGGAACGTACGCGAGAGTCGTGGACGGCAGTTATCGATCACGGCGGTTAGACGTGCCGATGTACGCGGCGGAACGCGCGCGATTACGACGCAATCATTACGCGGCGGATTTGCGATGATAATTGTACATGAATTATGATTCGATCTGTTGCGGGCTGCGTTATTGGTTACGATTATTAATAATTTTTATTATTGTTATTATTATTATTACTATTACTGCTATTGAAATGATCGATTATTTATTATATTGATTAAGAAATACGTTACGCGTGATAGATTATATGCACGGTACACGTAATGCTAGACATGACTAAAGGGATGAAAAAAAAAACCAGCCGAAGAAAATAAACTCGACGAACCCCGGGCTACGGTTCTGGTGACAACGATTATGATTTTTCGCCTTGGACCGCGGATCGCTAGATGAGCGAGATGAAGTGCTCCTTGGTTGTCGCTCATCCGTCGGGCCACTGCCACTGATTTGACACCTGTAGAACGATTGATGTTCTGCACTCGCATGGATGTCGAGATGATCCAAGCTGCATCGCCAATGATCGGTCGTTCGTCGAATCCGGTTTCTTGTGGGCGTTGAAAGGAAAAGGGTTTTCATTTCTACTCTAGAGCTCTAGAAGCTCTAGAAATTCTACGAGCTACGAATATATTCTATAAAAAATATTTTGGATTATTATTTTTTTTGTTTTCTATACACCCAACACTGTTCGGTTACCATTTTTAGTACTGGTACTTCGGGTTCGAGATATAATCGTATACCTTCGGGTCCTTGTTGTTGTTGGTGTCGTTCTGGTAGAACGCAGGCAACGAGGCGATCGCGTATACGATCGCGTACACCATGACGAAGTACGAGGCGCAACCGATAGGCATGCCGGCGAGGAACACTTGCGGTCCAAAGAAAAAGACTGGAAACGGCGGTGGCATCAAACGGTTCGAGCACGCGTGCAGGATTGCAAGGACGATAGGCAGGAGTTGTGTTGGTGGCGACGTCGAGTACGGTAATAGATCACGCGCGCACCGGCCGACCGGATTGAAAAGTTACACGCCCCCGCACCCCGGACCGTTCCCCGTTCGGCGCCGTTGTCCCGGCGGTCGCGCCGACGTCTTGCGCGCACCACGCGCGCGGCGGACGGCACACGCGTGGTGTACATCCTCGAGGGGGGGGGGGGGGGGGGGGAGAGCGCCACAACCCCGTCCGGTTGGACACGCCGTATGCGCGCCCGCCCCCGCCGAGGCCCCCCGCGGTCGCCGTGCACCAGTTCGGCGCACCGCGCGTTAATCGTATTACTGCGTCGCCGATTGGATTCCGAGCGCGTACACGCGCTCTCGGAGCGGCCGCGATCGGGTTGTTCTGATCCTCCTCCGATGCCGATGAAAAGTGCGCCGCGAAGGGGCGGCGTCGAACGAAAGCCAGCCGCTACGGCCGCCTTTTCGATCACACCCGGCCGGCCCGTGCGCGCTTACATGTGTGCGTATGTGTTTGCGCGTATGCGCTTAAAATATGTGACACGTTACGCCGTCGCAGACGATTTAATTATCGACGGCAGTGCTCGACTTGGCGAAATTAAAGAGGAGGGACTTTGTTTAATTTTTAAAAAAAACCGTCCCCCAAAACTTTTCAAGCGTTACGTAATTATAACGTAACAATAGTAGGGGGACGCTAAAATTTCTAAAAATCAGTTAGGGTACTCCGATCAACGGCTAGAGCGAACGGCCCGCCGTTGTCACTGCGATCGACCGGCCGAAAGGTGTGAAACGCGTCTGGATCGTGTACGGCCGTCGGTCAGTTGTCATCGTCGTGGTCGTCGTTTCCGTGGCGAACCATCCTCGGACGAAACGATCGCGATGACGACAACCGTTCGACGAAATGATTATTCATTTCTGGGGAAGAAAACGATTGAACGATGGACAGGTAACGTAATACGATCGATACGGGCGATCGACGGCAGGTTAGGTTTGACGGTTGCTTGTCGTACGATCATTAATCATCCAATCATTGTGCCCCAGTCGTGTGTCTAAAATATCGCGGGAAATCGCTTCGAAACAAAACATCTCGAACGTTTAAAAGGTTTATCTTGCAACACTTACGTTTATGTAATATTTTTACATGTCTATCGTATTCCAGTGCCCACTGCACTAAAATATTTATTTAATAAAACATGGGAAATCACGGGACCGCACTTTATTCCAAGACGATTTTGACAGAAAATTCGAAGATGTTTTGACCGGTCACCGAACAGATCCACCGAGTGTTTTCTTAGTGGGCAGAGTTCAACGTGTACATTCGTGCGTCACTGTCCGCAACGCAACCGATCGAAATTGACAAAACAATTCATTATTCGCAGCGCGCTCGACGAGGTAATTAAACGGACACGAATGCGAGCCGATTAAATCTCTGCGTATAAATCTTCTTGGCGCTCGATCGTCGCGCCTGAATCGCTTTCGCGCGTTTAATCGTCACCGCGAATGAATCATTTTCGCGCGCTTAACCGTCGGGGGTTCGGTCATTGCATCGCCACCGCGGTGAATTCGTACACATTGTACCGGATCATAGCAGTTCAATCGTTGATGGCACGCGTAATCATCGACCATAATAATATGACCGTAGCGGTTCGAACGTGTAGCTCGGGCCCGATACTGAAATGCTCACAATGGTACGCGATTTATGCGGACGTTTCGAGAATTCGTTTAATCACGCCAACACGCCGAATAATGTTACCCCAACATAATCGTTCCGCAGGACCAGGATTGCCTAGCATCAACATTTGCACGTAGCGCTTGCGAACGCAGTTGGCCCGTTGTTCTATTTGCCTTGTCTCGATACGCATTAGAATACGGTACGGTGGTACGGAGACGAGCTCCACAAACGTTGTTTTTTGACGGCATACAAGTACCACAAAGAAATACTTCACTAAAAGTTACATATCGTAAACCAAGGTTTGTCCCTAAACTAAACTTTTATCCTCAAAAATATTATATTATAGAAATAATTGTATTTTACCTATTACAAAATAACTTGGTCCACACAACAGTTCGTAACCGAAACACAAGATCTAAAAATCTAATATTAACTAAAATAAACACCTCAAAATATTATGACAGCTATCAACATGATCAATATTAGGCTGTAGCCCATTTGCGCCCAAGAGCAGCCCATTTGCGCCCTGAGGGTTATGGACATTTGCGCCCAAAATAAAAAACTTAACACCCTGATTTATAGCCCAAATGCGCCCATTTTGCATGCAACGTTGCCGTTGTTGTTTAAAAATATACAATTCTATGTAAAATGTAAAATAATTTTAAAAATAATGTTAAATACTAAACAGTATACATATTATATATACATATATATTATTTATATTGCATTAAATTATTAATTTCAAATAGAAACATTTTTACGTAAAATCAAAATAATTAATAAATACAATTACAATAATATCACATTTTGATTTTGATATTGGTTTCGATTAGATTGGGAAACGATCAAATATTATTTTAGATTTTATAGTTACACGCCAACATACTCAATAAATGGCAACGTTGCACGATTTTCACCTGATCTGAATCGGGCGCATATGGGCTATGATTTGGGGCGCAAATGGGCTACGATAAATGGGTTCGGGCGCAAATGGGTTGCGCCGCAATATTATACTCCATACTCGAATAATAAAAAAAAAGTTAAAAATCTATAATTTTTTAGTTGTTTGTAAATTGATGGTTATTGAACACTGAACTAGTTGTATAATAAACATTTTATTAATAACATGAAACTGTAAGATATATATTAAATGTTTAAAACACTTTATTTTTTTTTTTTTTGAAACTCTCGTCGAATAATACTAATAAGGAACTAAAACTAATAAGAATTTTATCCTTAGTGATAGACGAAGCGGTTTAATTACAATAAATATAGTTCTATTGCTATAAACATCAATATTGCTAAATAAATAAATATTATCATTATTATTGTTAACCTACTAAAGTGTTATGTAATGTGTATTATACACACATTTAAGTGCATGTATTGCAAACAGCTTACAGGTACTTGAATAATTATACAATTTTGGGTAAAATAATGTAATGACATTTATAAAATATTAATAATGACTAAATATTTTTTGTTATACGATTCGAATATTATAATCATCGGATTGTAAGGGTAATATTGTAATCATTGGTAGTAGGACCGTTTAATTGTTTTAAATTTTGTTAGTCGTCCACAAGAAAAGTATTACTATTACTTCAGACGAAACAAAGCCTGATGTAAAGAAAATGCGGAAAATAATAAGTTTTTGTTTTGTAAACATTTTGTATAATATTGTTAAAATACCGGGACGAGCCTTATAATGTTAGTATACAAACATTGAATGCAAGTAAACAAATAACTATTTATAATGATAATATTTATGGATACTTATTGGTTATTTACTCATAATTACACTGGTATTCGATGACTTATTTCTAGCTTAATTAGTGTTGCATGTAGGTATCGAAAATAAAAATCAACGGATCTTAAAAGTTTATCTAAAACAGAAATTCTCGAGACTTTAAAAAACCACCAACTATTTATGTTTATAACATTTTACTGTGGTAATGATATATACACAAATAAAAAATAAATAAAAATTTAGTTGTGCGGTAAAAAAAAATATGTATGTAATACATTTATGGGCGAATCTTGGATATGGTTAACGATACTATTTTATTTTGCACCGGTAGAAAATTAAGCATATGCAACTCAATGTACATCGACGTATATTCCACCCTTTCATCGTTTGAAAACGTTGAGCTCGTTACTGAAGTCTACTGGAGCAGCCGTTCTCAAACTGTGCTCCGCAATTGTTTCTCAACGGCTCCGTCTGTTCTATCATAAGATATTTAATAATTCATTAATTATTGATCGTTATTTAAAACAACTAGCATATGATATACGCTATGAGATGTATAATATTTTTACAAGAACCCGTCAACTCGTGTATTATCCACCGATACGTTTGTGTACACACAAACGGTATTCAAATCCCGATAAGAAAACATAATTTTTGAATTTTAGACAACACAGATTTCCGTTACAGTTATTGCTCGACCTGGTATATTGTATGCAAGTATAATGTTAAATACATATTATCTCGTTTTAAGTTTTCTCCTGTATATATCCTGTA